TCCTGGGTTCAAGCCATTCTCCTGCCTCAGCTTCCCAAATAGCTGAGATTACAGGCATGCACCACCACTCCTAATTTTTTATATTTTTAATAGAGATGGGGTTTCACCATGTTGGTCAGGCTGGTCTCAATCTCCTAACCTTAAGTGATCCACCTGCCTCAGCCTCCCAAAGTGCTGGAATTACAGGCATAAGCCACCATGTCTGGCCTCAGGTAGGCCAGTTATTGGGTTCCCATATGGCCTACTCACATGCCAGTAGTGGCAGCAGTGGACTGGGAAGTACAGTGGGTCCTGGCAGCCCATGTGGCCAGGGCAATGGCAGTGGCAGTGGTGGGATGACACCCTGGGTCCCAAGCAATTTGTGCTGGTATTGGTGGTGACTGCAATGAGCTGGGTAGGCCAGTCTTCAGTGCCGCAGGTGGTACGGGCAGGTACGTGCCAGCTGTGGTGGTGGCACTGGGTGGGTAGACCCAGCTTCAGGCCCCCAGGAGGCGTGCTCAGGTGCCAATAGTGTGGACTGGGCTGTGTTGCTATTCACTTGGGGTGGTAGCCAAAATTTTACAGAAAATATTTCGGGAAAGTTATAGGTTATAGTGTCAAACCTTTTGGAAGGCCAAAAGGTTTTATTAGGGCAGGCTGAAGGTGGCCAGCTGGTCCATTTATGTCAAGTTAGGGAGAGATAGAGACGATCAAAGGCTTTACCCCACACCCATTTGTCTCTACTCTGTTTACTCACGCAAATTTTGTGCTGAATGGTCTCTCCGGGGAAGGTCAAAGGGAATTACCTGTTCATAGTATTTACTCTAGGCCTGGAACCTAAAGCTTTTACCAGTCATGAAACCATTCTCTTAACCATGTTAATTATCCACAAGTCTGTTAACTTTAGAACCTCTGTTGTAAAATCTTGAGGGAATAAAAGTGTGAATGGACAGAGGGTCTGGGTTGGTTGCATTTCGCCCTCTGAAAGCAGCCAACAGTCATCCCTAGCCCCCTTGAAACACTGTAATGGTGTGAGAGTGCATTCATTCATCCATCATTGAGTCAGGGTCTGCAGGTCAAACTTCTGCAGGTGATGAGACCCAGGTGACCCCGACGTGATCAAGGGCACAGGGCTGGGCAATTCCCTGGTATCCAGACTGTGTGTTCTGGCACAGGTGGTGGGGTGAAATCAGGCTGAGTGGGCTTGTCCACAGTCCTCTGGTGGTGTGTACAGGTGCTGATATGATTACCAGGCCACCAGTGGAATGCTCAGGTTGGGGGTGGCCTGGCTGTGCTGCTGCACTGTCACTGCAGGGTTGGCAGTGCTGTCTTCAGTGGCAGCACCTAGGTGTGTGTGGGGGAACTGGGTGCCACTTGTGCTGCAGCAGTATGCTTTAGGTGCAGTAACTGATGTTCACTGGTCCTTGAGTCCTGGGAGCAGCGGCCAGATATGCAGGACTCCAGGATAGTGCATGATCTGCTGGGAGCAGGGCTCTGAAATGGTGCCTCACTTGTGCCTCAGTCCTGAAAACAGTAGCCCATGCCTTGGTTATACCTATGCCCTGAGTGCAGTGGCATGTGGTCATTCATTCCTGGGGAGCAACTGAAGCTTCTCTTGTACCTGAGCCTTAGCAACACTGGGCTCCGGGATAGTTCACAGTCTCCTGTCTATATCTTTCTCATGTATGGCCACTGAAGTCTCTGCTTGGTTATCTTGGCAGACAGCTAATGACTAGAGAGAGATTTCTTTTTTCTTTTCTTAGAGAAAGTGTCTCGCTCTGTCACCTGGATGGGAGCACAGTAGCACCATCATAGCTCACTGCATCCTTGAAGTCCTGGGCTCAAGTGACAGCCTGGACAGAGATTTCTTTGAATGTATGAAACAATAACTCTCCAAGCCTTTGCCAAGGGACTCTGTGTGTATGTGTATGTGTGTATGTATGCATGTATGTTAGGGCATGCTTTCCCTGGTTGGCAGGCACTTTAAACTCTGCCTTACCTTTGCTTCTGGCTTATGGAGGTCTTTAACTGCAGCCAGAGGTGAGAGATTAGGGCCTTTTTGGGTCTTTCCTGGGGGTGTGCACAGTGCTGCACATGCAGATGGCCTTCTAGATTCCCAAGAATATGTCAGAGCATTTCCAAGGCCCCCATGGACATCTCATTTCCCAGATTTTTAAAAAGTTTTTTTTTTAGCCAAACTAGGCATGGTAATGCGTGCCCCCAGCTGCTTGGGAGGCTGAGGTGGGAGAATCGCTTGAGCCTGGGAGATCAAGGCTGCAGTGAACTATGATCACGCCACTATACTCCAACCTAGACAGCAGAGCGAGACCTCGTCTCGAAGAAAAGAGTAAAGAGGCCGGGCGCAGTGGCTCATGCCTGTAATCCCAGCACTTTGGGAGGCCAAGGCGGGTGGATCATGAGGTCAAGAGATCGAGACCATCCTGGTCAACAATCCCGTCTCTACTAAAAATACAAACATTAGCTGGGCATGGTGGCGCGTGCCTGTAGTCCCAGCTACTCAGGAGGCTGAGGCAGGAGAATTGCCTGAACCCAGGAGGCGGAGGTTGCGGTGAGCCGAGATTGCGCCATTGCACTCCAGCCTGGGTAACAACAGCAAAACTCCATCTCAAAAAAAAAAAAAAAAATAGACCCGAAAAGAAAAAAGAAAAGAGAAAAGAAAGAAGTTTTTGTGGGCCAGCCCCTAGTAGTATTACTACCTGAGGAAGCTGTCATGTTAAACAATGTCCACTTTTTCTTAAACGTCCAGGAAATGGGGCTGTTTGAACAGAGGGAGCTCTGAGTTAGGCCATGTAGAAACAACTGAGAAGGAGGATTTTCTAGGTGCCTCCAGGCAGGTCAAACAGTGACAATTCTCCAGGCATAGGCTTTTGGAGAACTCCAAACCCATCTGTCTCCTCCCGTGGCTGCTAGACTGATGATTTTCACAGCTATCATTGTGGTGAGGCTGTTAGTTTCCAAGGCTACTGAGCAGCTCAGGAGGAGACGAGAATAGCGCAAGTTAAAAGACCACACAGCTCACTGTTCTTTCTGAGGTTCCACCATTTTTCTTGAATAAATGACCTGCTGATAGTTGGACACCTTTGGTTAATTTCCAGAGTTCTTAAAAAGTTGTGGGTTTTTTTGGTGACAATTTTTGCTAGTGTTCTCACTGTTTCTATGGAAGTGTGGGTTTTTAGAAGTCCTTATTGTACTATTTCAGAAGTTCTTCACAGTAGTTATTTAGTAGGGGTGTGTGTGTGTGTGTGTGTGTGTGTGTGTGTGTGTGCGCGCCTATGTATGTGTATGACAGAGAGAGAGAGGCCTCAAGGTTGGGTGTGAAAATAGTTTTCCCTGTAGACCATGGCTGTCATGGTAGGTACAATTTGTAGAAAGTTTTCCCACCCATCTCACTATAAAAGTAATAACTTCTCTGCTTAAATCTAAAATTCCTCCCTTACAAGGCCGTCTTTCTGGTGGAGGTGGAGTGTGTATATATGTAAATAACTGCATTTGCATTCTTTTAAAAATGCATATAACTTTGGAAGAGATGGAAGAGATAGGTGGAATTTCCCAAATTCCTTCTTTTCTTAACCAGGAGGAAGTGCTCTGAATTTCAGTCTTAGAGGAGTAGGGGTTGGGGCTGGGGAGAAATGAGGATTAGAGAGGAGGGGGCAAAGTAAGAGGCAGGAGCTAAACATGGGGATTTTCTGTTTTCTAAATTTCCTGGAAAGGAAATGTGGGGTTGGGTATGTTACATTAGGTAGCTAGTCAGAGGCAAGTGGAACAGGAGCGGGCTCCAACCCCCACACGCACCAGGAGTGTCAGGTGACCATAAGTAGTGGTCAGATGGTTGTTACGGTCTCTCTAAAATAATAATTCGTTATAGCCAGTGCCGGAGAAAGGCAGTCTCCCACTAGATAAAAACCTGAAACTGGTGATCAGCAGCTTCCAAATAAGATCTCAGGGGCAGGGAGAGTGGGCTCAAGTACGTTTACTAAGAGGCAAAATGAAGCATTTGGCTGGTAAAGGAAGAACACCTCGAGTGAGCATGTGTACAACTCCAGGAAACACCCGATGGTCACCTGACCTTCCTGGTGCGTGTGGGGGTGGGGGAATCCTCTCCTCTTCTGCTCGTGTCTGACTAGCTACCTAATGTAACATACCCAACCCCACATTTCCTTTCCAGGAAATTTAGAAAATAGAAAATCCCCATCTGCGCATGCTCCCTCCCAAGTGCTAGCAGGCCACTGTGTATGAGGACAGCCCACCCCCAGGGAAGAATCAGGGGAGAAGGGATGCAGGATCCCCAGGATTATGTCAACCTATGACACCCCAAGTCAAAGGTCAAATGGGGCACTTGATCTCACAAGTCACCTGCTTTGCCCTCTTCCAAGTGTACTTTCCTCCCTCTCATTCCTGCTCTAAAACTTTTTAATAAACTTTTGCTCCTGCTCTAAAATTTGCCTCGATCTCTTCTGCTTTATGACTCCTCAGTCACATTCTTTTTTCTGAGGAGGCAAGAATTCAGGTTGTTACAGACCTATATGGGTTCATTGCCACTAACATACTTTGGTGCCATGACTCAGATATGTTCTGCTGTTAACAGGGGTGGGGTGTGTGTGTGTGTGTGTGTGTGTGTGCATGCGTGTTGTTCATGGTTAGGAAATCAGGGAAGGGGTGAGGACATAGAGGAGGCTATCTCTGGAATGGGAATAAGAAGGCAGGATGGCCCAATGTGGTGTCTCTTTAGATGGGTCCCTCTTTCTCTTGAGGAGTTCTCCTATGGCACTTCTAGCCAGAAATTCTATAGTTGTATTGAGACAGGATTGTTCCCTTGACCTTGACCCCCTTTGTGGGCAGGAATTGGAGTGGCTCATTTCACTCAGCCTGTAGTCTGTGGATGGCTAACAGTTCAGTGAAGGTTCAGGGTGACAGCCTCCTGCACCTGCTCTTCTTGACACCCGAGTTCTTGTCTGGTGTCCAGGAAGAATCAGGTCACATGAACTATGTGAAGGGTAGTGTATGTGGAGGAGTTTATTGGGCAATAAAAGTGGCTATCAGCGGGATGGGGAATTGGTAAAGGGATGGTATGGGAAGAAAGTGATCTTTTCCTGAAGCCACACCATCTGAAGTTAGCCGAGTCTATCCTTAGTCTCGGATGCTCAGCTGCATGTAACCCTGATGTTCAGCAGCTTGCATCCCCAAACACTTACATCAGCCACCTCTTTTTGCTCCACCAGCTGAAGTCTTTTTATGGGCAAAGGCTAGGGGATTGGGTGGGCCAAAAGGCAAGCACAAGATAGGAGGTGGGGTGGGCCACAAAGGCAACAGGGTCAGCTGTTTTGACTTAAGGCTGAGAGTCCAGGCTTGAGGGTGGAGTTTAGCCAGGAGCCCAGCCGTTCTGTATCAGGGTCAGCTGTTTTGACTTAAGGCTGAGGGTCTAGGCTTGAGGGTGGAGTTTAGCCAGGAGCCCAGCCGTTCTGTATCAGGGTCAGCTGTTTTGACTTAAGGCTGAGGGTCCAGGCTTGAGGTGGAGTTTAGCCAGGAGCCCAGCCGTTCTGTATGAGGGTCAGCTGTTTTGACTTAGGGCTGAGGGTCCAGGCTTGAGGGTGGAGTTTAGACAGGAGCTCAGCCGTTCTGTATCAGGGTCAGCTGTTTTGACTTAAGGCTGAGGGTCCAGGCTTGAGGGTGGAATTTAGCCGTTCTGTATCAGTAGGAGTTAGAAACCTGCAAAATATAGCAACTGAAAATTAAAGCCAAGAAGTAAGGCTTGACATGTTTCTGAGTTTATTATTTATTTTTTGAAAAGTATTTTCCCTATTTGTATACGCACAATAAAACAACTACTGAGTCCCACACCGAGGTGTGCTATCTTCACTTTTTGACCTTTGGCGTTTGAACAAATGCCCTGATCCAAGCACTTCTTCCCAGCAAAGCTTTTCTCTCTGGAATGGTTGTCAGAGGAAGGAAGCAGCCTCTCGCTGAGGCAGGTTCAGGTTGCACACGGATCATTTTGATCACTTTCACCAGCATTGATAACGAAAGATAGACGGTTGTGTAGGCTACACAGGAAGTAAGTGCTCTGTCTTGAAAACTGATCAGGAGTTTTGCTGAAGCAGGAGTTGAGTTTTTAACACCACAGAATATTTGCATGTAATGTGAGCTGAAATTCACACTGATGATCTCAGGATCTATGTCAGCTGTCCCTTATTCCCATTAAGATTAATTTATAAGCTTACAATTTATCACCAAGGCTAGTTTCTACTCCAGGCAAAATAGTAGTATAAGCAAGTTTCTTGCAGTGCCTTAACCATTAAGCCTAAGTTCCCTTAAAGCTCTAGACCTGCGTGGATTGCATACTTTCTTCTCAACCCTTGCCTGCAAATTTACTCTCAAATTCTCCATTCATAACCAGAGGCAAATGCATAAGAACAAGTTATAGATCTTCCCAAGGATATTTTCAAATGAAGAAGGACAAAAGTATAAAAAAGTAGTTGATGCTTTGATTCAAGAATAGTAGATTAGTGGCATCCCGTGGGTGAATCCCCATTGTTCTAAAATGATTGTCTATTGAGCTGTGAGGGAGAGGATTGTGAGGCCATGTCAAAGCCAGGGAGAGGAGTGCCTGGCAGATTATTGATGTCTGCTGTGGGTGAGCAAGGTGCTATCTGCTGTGGTATACATATTACCAAGCCTAGTGTACAGGGAAGATGCCTGCCCTGCGGTTCATAATAAGTAGGTTTTATTAGAGCCCTGCCACTGATTTATGGACTGGCTTACTGAAAGAATTAAATGAAATGTGAATTAAATGAGATGATGTATGAGACTGCATTCAGCAGAGTATGGGATTAGAAAGCAGTTCTGTTTTTTTAGGCTGTGAACTCCCTGAGAATTCACAAACCTATTGTATTTACCTTTGAATTTCAGCCCAGTGCCTGACCCACAACAGACCCTCTATAAATATTTGTTGAAGTAATGTATGCTGCCTGTGAAGACCAGGTGAAGGAATGAATCCAGTGGTTAGATCTGAAGCCTCCCCTGAATAAACAGGGAAGAATTTGGAGGTCATTGGAGCTTTCCTATAGGCTCCCGGAAGTCGCTCTTGATGGGTCTTCTTCCAATTTTTTAAAATTTAAAACATTATTCTTAAACTAAAACAAACACGCAGAGAAGTACAGAGATCATAAGGGTACACAGCTCCATGAATTCTCATACACCCATAGAACCACAAACTATGTAAAACCAGAACAGCACCAGCGCCCTAGAATGCTGGTATTGCCTTCTGCATTGTCAGCTCTTCCCTCCTCTCAAAGATACCCTCATCCTGATTTCTGCTATTATGCATTAATTCTGTCTAATATTTTGTGAGGTTCGACTATGTTGTTCCATGGCATTGCAATTTGTTCCTTTTTATTGATGCATCATATTCCTGTGTAGAAATTCATTATAATTTGTTCATCTGTTCCCCTGTTGGTGAACATTTAGGTGTTTGCCAGTCTTTGGCTGTTACAAATAAAGCAGCTATAAACATTTTGATGCTTTTGACCATATTTCTGTTGGATATAAATGAGATCTTGGAGACAAATGGTCAAGTTATAGAGTATGTTTAGGTTCAACCTTAGTATATACCACCAAGAAGTTGTCTAACGTGGTTTTGCCAATTAATACTCCCTCCAGCCGTGTATGTGAGCCACCACTGCTCCTGTAATGCTTGTCATTGTCAGTCCTTTTAATTCTAGCTACTCTAGTGGATATGGAACGTTATTTATTCTGATTTTAATGTGCATTTCCCGGATGACTACTGTGGATGAGCATCTTTTCATATGTTTATGGTACATTTGGATATTCTTTTTTTTTTTTTTTTTTTTTTTTTTTTTTTTTTTAATTGAGACAGAGTCTTGCTGTGTTACCCAGCCTGGAGTGCAGTGGCATGATCTCGGGCTCACTGCAACCTCCACCCCCTGGGTTCAAGCAATTCTCCTGTCTCAGCCTCCTGAGTAGCTTGGATTACAGGTGCCTGCCACCCTGCCTAGCTAATTTTTGTATTTTTAGTAGAGACAGGATTTCACCATGTTGGCCAGGCTGGTCTCGAACCCCTGACCTCAAGTGATCCACATGTCTTGGCCTCCCAAAGTGCTGGAGTTACAGGTGTGAGCCACCATGCCTGGCCTATTTATTTATTTTGAGATAGGATCTCACTCTGTTGTCCAGACTGGAGGATAGTGGTGCGATCATAGCTCACTGCAGCCTCAAACTCTTGGGCTCCGGTGATCCTTCCATCTCAGCCTCTTGAGTATCTAGGACTACAGGTATGTGCCGCTACAGCTGGCTAATTAAAAAAATTTTTTTTTGTAGACGTGGGGTCTCACTCTGTTGCCCAGGCTGGAGTGCAGCAGTGCCATCATGGCTCAATGCAAACTTCGCCTCCCAGGCTCAAGCAGCCCTCCCACCTCAGCCTCTTGAGTAGCTGGAATTACAGGCATGCCACAACACCCAGGTAACTTTTTGTGTTTTTGGTAGAGATGGGATTTCGTCATGCTGCCCAGGCTTGTCTTGAACTCCTGAGCTCAAACTATCCTTTCACCTCAGCCTCCCAAGTACCTGGAATTACAGGCACACCACCACACCCGGCTAATTATTTTTTGTGTTTTTGGTAAGGCTTATTGCCCAGGCTTGTCTCAAACTCCTGAGCCCAAGCGATCTGCCCGCCTTGGCCTCCCAAAGTGCTGGGATTAGAGGCATGAGCCGCTGCACTTGGCCTGTGCAGATTTCATAACATTCAGTAATGTGATAGTGCTGTGTAAGGGACAGCTTACCCAGAGGCCTTTGCGATTCTCATCTGGAATGCCTGGTTGCCATTCATTCCCTGTGCCTGGATTCTGCCTCTGGCCCTATACCTTTGAGCTGACTCCTTGGTTGGACTGTTTGTCCCTGGATGCTCTCTGCTGGTTCACTTTTAGTTACTGGCTCTGCAGCTTATGGGCTGATGACGTCCTCAACCCTGATCCCTAAGCCCTGCCCAGTTCTCCCAGTTCCAAAGCAATTGGTTCCACCTATGATCCTTTGGGATTTATTCCCAGAATATAAGCCTGATTCAGTATCAAAAAACCTATCATTGTTTCTGGAATCAAAAACTATTCTCTGGTCCATGGATGACGTGGAGAGCATCCTTAAATATTTGTTCTAAAAGTCATCATAGTTGATAACTAGGACAAGGCTACAAAATCCTGATAGTTTAATAATTCAGTGTAGTGAAAAGAGGTGAAATCATGGGCATTCATTTGAGCATTTGCAGTAGAACAGGGGGCAAGTTCACCTTGGGCTAATTTGTGCATTCAGAAAAACAACTGAGTGCATGCTTTGCCCCCTGGATGAGGTGTCACACCTATATAGATGTCATCTGGCTTGTGTCTATTAATTCTCATCTCAGCAGCAAATGGAATATGTGCAATGGACTAGTTTTTAATCAGTCTGTGACATCTGCATCTAAATAAATTGGTGTAATCTTGAGATAAATGACTGCAGTCGGTGTGGCTCACTGTTATATGAATGCCCTTTACTATTCACAGCGCATTCTCTGAGCATTGCTCAGATTACACATTACCCCCTGACGCACAAAGGGTCACATGATGCTGTGATCACGTTTGCTGGTGACGTGGGTCCCACACTTCAGTTAATCACCGGGCTGAGTGCCATGGCAGCCCCAGAAAGCTGGAGCCCTCAGTATTGACAGGGAAAAACTTCTGCCCGTTACCAACCCCGTTAGCTTTTCCTTGTAGTCATTTAATTAGATTTCATAAAATAAAGCTGCTTTCTCTTGTGCATTGTCAGCAAAAATAGAATCTGCACAGACTGTCTTCTGAGTTCCTGATTTTATTTGGAAATCCATTAAGCCTAACATTTCTAGATTTTTAAAAAAATGAGTATGCTTTTATTTCATTAGCGTCTTTGAAAAGATTTATAAAAATATGTGAAGAGGCATGCTGTCCTTTAAATTGGAGCACAAGGTTTGCTGAGCAAGGACACAGCCCAAACAGTGGCGCTATTTTTGAAAATGTGTGATAGAATACGATGTGTACCAAATAAAATAAAATGACTTTATTATTTATTTATTTTGGCACCCGGGCTGGAGTGCAGTGGCATGATCTCAGCTCACTGCAACTTTTGCCTCCTGGGTTCAAGCAATTCTCATGCTTGAGCCTCCCGAGTAACTGGGACCACAGACATGTGCCACAACACCGAGCTAATTTTTGTATTTTGAATAGAGATGGGTTTCACCACATTGGCCAGGCTGGTCTCAAATCCCTGACCTCAAGTGATCCACCTGCCTCAGCCTCCCAAAGTACTGGGATTACGGGTGTGAATGACCGTGCCTGGCCAGCTTTGTTGATTTAAAATAGCAATCTGGGTGTCTTTACTGTTAAAATAATTAGACACAGCTACCGAAGGACTGCACATAGACTAGTTAGAAACATCGTTAATCTTTAGCATCACTTTTGTCTCTAGTGAGCCCCTCCTCTCCTTTTGCTCAGCCCCATAGGCTGTCACTCACCTTTGCCTGTACAGGAGACTCCACCACCCTCCTACTGAAGCAACCACTTCTCTGCCTCCACCACAAACACCACCTCCCCTCTCTCGTTGTTCCTCCTGGACTCCTCACCATCTCAGGAACTGTCAACTTTATTCACCTGGTTGTTTGGGATCCAAACTCAGCATTGTCTTGGACTCCTTTCTCTCAGTCATCCCCCATGGCCAGTGCATCTGAACAGCCCGTTTCCTCCATCTCCCCAACACCTCCCAAATTTGATCCCTTCAGGGTTTCTGCTACCCACCCTTGCTTCCCTCCTTCACCCACATTGAGCCACGATGGTCTTTAAAAAATCTCTATTCAGTCACATTATTCTCTAGCTTCCCCATTGCAAGAAAATAAAAAACCAAAAACAAACAACAAACCCACCACCTAATCCTGGTCCACAACTCTGCAAGGTTGGAGCCCAGTTCCTTTCTAGCTCTGTTCTTGCTCCTGCTCCGAAAGCTGGGTTGGTTTTATTTCAGTTTCATGAACTATCTCCTACAAATCAACTTGAAAGAAACTAGCAACACAACAGAAAAACCAACAGTTGCTAGAGACTGAGTTTGTTGCTCCATAAAGCTTTAGCAGTGTCTTGGAGTGAGAAATGCAAAGTTGGATTCTGGCAGGTCTGTCAGTGCAGGGGCTTGATGAAGATTGCATAAGAATCAGGAAACGGCCTGGCATGGTGGCTCACACCTGTAATCCCAGCACTTTGGGAGGCCAAGGCAGGCAGATCATGAGGTCAAGAGATCGAGATCATCCTGGCCAACATGGTGAAACCCTGTCTCTACTAAAAATACAAAAAGTTGCTGGGCATGGTAGCACGCCTATAGTCCCAGCTACTCAGGAGGCTGAGGCAGGAGAATCACTTGAACCAGGAAGATGGAGATTGCAGTGAGCTGAGATTGTGCCACTGCACTCCAGCCTGGAAACAGAGCGTGACTTTGTCTAAAAAAAAAAATAAAAAAAAAAAAAAGAAATAGGAGGAAACAACAGGATTTGGACTGGTAGAAAGAGCAAGGCAAATATTTTGAGATAAAGGTTTCAGGGCTAAAAGTATGGGTCTTTCCAGAGGTTTCCATCATGAATAATCAAGATATTTGCCTGGGGAAGAGTGTGCCTGAGCAGAAAAGTGATGCCAAGGAGGAGAGGCATAGTATAAAATCATGTTCCAGCAGAGGAGGCTTTGTGTGTGCCTGATTATTGGGGGAGTAGTTCCCATCTTGGGTCCAAGCTGTGTGTGAAGGTGAATGGTTTCCATTCTCAGAACAATCAGTCCACAAAAAGGAAATGCAAATGTCTCTGAAGGATATGAAAATACACTCATTTTAGCTCATGATAAGAAATATATTTTAGGCTGGGCACAGTGGCTCGCGCCTGTAATCCCAGCACTTTGAGAGTCTGATGTGGGCAGATCTCGAGCTCGGGAGCTCAAGACAAACTTAGGCAACATGGCAAAACCCCATCTCTACCCAAAATACGGAAAATTAGCTGGGCATACTGGTGCACACCTGTGGGATGTGTGGTCCCAGCTACTTGGAAGGCTGAGGTGGGAGGATCTCTTGAGCTTGAGAAGTCGAGGGTACTGTGAGCCAAGATCATGCCACTGCACGCCAGCCTGCGTGACAGAGCCCTTCTCTACCAAAAAGACAAAAAATTAGCTGGGCGTGGTGGCATCCACCTGTGAGACGTGTGGTCCCAACCACTTGGTAGGCTGAGATGGGAGGATCTCCTGAGCTTGGGAAGTCGAGGGTACAGTGTCCCAAGATCATGCCATTGCATTCCAGCCTGGGTGACAGAGTGAGACTCTTCTCAAAAGAAAAAGAAAAACAAACAAACAAACAAAAAAAACAAAAAAGAAATATGTTTGAAAACTACACTAAGATACGTTAGGTTTTGTATCGCCACCCAAATCTCATCTTCAATTGTAATCCTCATAATCCCTATAATCTGCACATGTCAAGGGAGAGATCAGGAGGAGGTCACTGAACCATGAGTGTGGTCACTGAACCATGGGGGTGGTAATCTAATGGTTTTATAAGGGGCTCTTCCTCTTTTGCTTGACATTTCTTCCTGCCACCTTGTGAATAAGGTGCCTTGATTCCCCCTCACCTTCTGCCATGAATGTAAGTTTCTTGAGGCCTCCCCAGCCATGCTGAACTGTGTCAATTAAACCTCTTTCCTTTATAAATTATCCAGTCTCAGGCAGTTATTTACAGCAATATGAAAACAGACTAATACAACACTTTTCACCTATCAGATTTTCCAGTATGAAAAAGTTTGATGAAACCTTATAATTGAGCGAACAGGGACTTCCACACATTAACTGGCAGGAATGTAAATTGGTAGAACGTCCAAGGAGGGCAATCTGACACTGTCTTTTAAAATTATAAATGCACATACCTGCTGTGCAGAATACAAATGATCACTTCTAAGCATTTATCTAATAAGTTGGCCAATATCTAAAGAAACTAGTATCCTTCGGAATGCCCTTTGGGAGGTGACGCTGAAAGGGATAGAAAGTTTTGAAGTTTGTCAATGATTTTTCTTATTGCCTTATGGAAGATAGCTCTGCAGTAGAGAAATTAGCCCTTTGATTTTGATAAAGTATGCACAAGATTTTTCTTAGTGCTTTCATACAGCATATGGTGATTTTTGCTATGTGAAATTCTTCAATTTTATGTTGACAAGTGTTTTGATCTTTCTTTTTTTAATGGCTTCTGGATATGTGTCACACTCCGAGATTACAAAAATATTCTGCCTTGGTTTATTCTTGAATTTTTGTGGCTTCGTTCTTTTGGGTCACTTTGACGTCTTTGGTCCATTTGGAGTTTATTGAGGTATAAGTTGTGAGGTATGGATTCAATACTATTATTTGTCCAAGTGATGACTCACTTATCTCACTTATTGAACAAGCCATCCAGCTCTAGCATATTCTTACAAATATTTAGGTCTATCTCTGGACTCCCTAGTCTGTCCCTTAAGTTTGTCTATTTAATGTGTCACACTACTTTAATTATTGTAGTTTTATATTATGTTTTAATATTGGTTAGTTCCACCTCACTGCCTTCTTGTTCAGGAGTTTCTTGGCTTTCTTAGGTTGCTTATTTCTCATGGTGAGCTTTAGAATCAGCTTGTGCAATTCCACACTCTCCCTCACCAAATTCCACTGGTGATTGTATTTATTATGTTAAATGTATAGATTAGCTTAGGGGCATTTATATTTTATGATGTTAAGTCTTCCTATTCACGTTCATGGTATTTTATATTTTTCCAAGTTTATTTTGTGTCATTTGATTATATTTAAAAATTTTCTTCAATAGGTATTTCACTTTCTTGTTATAATTATTAAGAAATTTTTTGTTTGTTTCTAATGTGAGATTCCCTCACCCCCACATCAATTAACTGCTATTATTTGCATATATGTGAGTTTTTGGTTCTGTGTATTTATTTTGATATCTTGTGGGATTTTCTTATTGTTTATAGTATATTTTAAGTTGTATTCTCTAGATATATTGTTTGCATATAATAATTTTACTTCCTCTCCAATTAAATATTTATAAATTTGCTTTTGAATACTGGTTTGAGTTAATATCTCAAGAACAATATTAAATTATAATGATGATGGTGTCATTATCAACCTTGATGGGATTATCTTTTCATATTCTTTCATTAAGCATGATGCTGACTTTTGGGTTGAGACAGATGTGCTGCATTATAAGGTAGTAGTTATCTTTTTTCATTTTATTATTTATCAAGAATGTGTACAGAATTTTATTAAATGCATCTTCAACATTTATGAAGAAGGCCATAGTATTTTTATTTTTAAGTCTATTAATACAGGTAAATAGGTTTTCTGATAATCATGTTTTTGTTCTGGAAATAAATCTTACTTGGTCATTATATATCAATTTTTAAATACTTTGCTGGATTATTTTGCTTTTTTTTTTTTTTGAGATGGAGTCTTGCTCTGTCTCCCAGGCTGGAGTGCAGTGGTGCGATATTGGCCTACTGCAGCCTCTGCCTCCTGGGTTCAAGTGATTCTCCCACCTCAGCTTCCCAAGTAGCTGAGATTACAAGCACACACCACAATACCCAGCTAAGTTTTGTATTTTTAGTAGAGACAGGGTTTTTGCCATGTTGGCCAGGTTGGTCTTGAACTCCTGACCTCAGTTGATCCACCTGCCTCACCCTCCCAAAGTGCTGGGATTACAGCATGAACCACCACACCTGGCCTATTTTGCTGATTTATTTATTTATTTTGATGGAGTCTTGCTCTGTCACCCAGGCTGAAACGCAGTGGCTCAATCTTGGCCAGCTTACTGACATGACTGCCTCCCAGGTTCAAATGATACTCCTGGCTCAGCATCCCGAGTAGCTGGGATTACAGGGTGTCACCATGCCTGGCTAATTTTTTTGCATTTTTAGTAGAGATGGAGTTTCACCATTTTGGCCAGGCTGGTGTCGAACTCCTGACCTCAGGTGATCCACCTACCTTGGCCTCCCAAAGTGTTGGGATTACAGGTGTGAGCCACTGCACCCATCTGCATCAATTGTTTTTGTATGTGTCTATTAGCTCTGTTGAGCTTTTGGTGTTCATGGTGTGTGACTGGGATCACATGTCCATCTTGAACCACTCTGTCACCAGGGGAATGCTCACGTCTAGGTCACATGGTTACTCCTGAATCTGGCAGTGAGGTCAGTTTCATGTGCAGCATATGGGCTGAGAGTTGGTTTCCCCATGGCAAAATTGGGACCCAGTTATCCAAGAAGGAGAGATACTAACCAGATGGAGAAAACCACAGATGTCCCACCATAGGCAAGTTAGCGATAATGTAGCTTGGATATTTCAGGCTTCATTTACAGTAGAGGCAGGAAGCTTCTTGGCTGATAGCTGAGTGAATCATCAACACTGTTATCAACCCTTGACCGACAACTTCCAGACTTCTTTTATGAGGGAGAATAAATCCATAATTTGTTTGAGCCATTAACATGAGCACCTTCTATATGGAAATAAAGCTTAAAATATTGTGTCTGGAAGACCCAAAGACTGGAGCTATTTTATAATACTCTATTTTAAGATCCCAGAGTGAACTCAGGTACAAAGAAAGGGACTTAAATTGCATCTCCTTATTTGCAGTTTAGTTATGTGGATTTATTAGATGATAAATCACCTCCAGCTTACCTGGGATTTAGCACCCGCCTTCTTTCCAAAAGCATCTAAGTTTTCACAAGCCATTGGCAAGGTGGTCTCTATATTTCCCTCTGCACCTTCAGTTGCCTGTAGGCAATGACGTCATTCCTGTTATTCCTTCCCACATTCAGTTAACCGTTAAGAATATAAGAAAATACCCATCCTCCCTGCAGAGGGTGGGACTGGATGCTGGATTGAAGTTGCAGTAAGCTTGAAATAAAAAGTTGGCCATGTATAGAGAGCAGGGACACTGGATCCTATGTTCAGTATAGGGAATTAAAAACAGTTATTGAATTTAAAATAATTTCTATGTTCTCAGGAATCAATGTGAAAATACCTGATTTCCACCTGGAGGTAGCTCAAGTGCTTTATAAAATATTCATATGGGGAAGATATGCTTCCTTGCTGCCTTTTTATTCAAGACCTCATTTAAACCTACCTTAGATCAAATCAATATTACAGTGATAATGTAAAATAAATTAAAACTGTTTTAAACAGCTGCTAGAACAGTGGTTTAATTCACATCAGAGCAAGTCTAGAGGGGAGAAAGTAAATGTGAACCTGTCTCAAACAGCATTTAGGAGTTGTTCAGTGATAATAGAATAAAATAATCTGAATATAAATTCTAACACTTAAATGACTAATTTTAATAAAGATACTACTAATTAAAGAAATAAGATAATTACCTAGTGCTTGTAGCTATAATGCATGCAAGTCATATTTATTCTTCATGACAATTCTTCAAAGACACTTAAAACTCCCGTGTACTTAGTATTTATATTTTTGTATTGCCTTTTTGGGTTGATTGTTTTGTAGGAAATATTGGAAGTGGAGGAGAGGTACTATGGGAAGGTGGAAAAGCATAAACTAGTGATTTGGGGGCTTGGGGCCTCATTCTGGTTCTGCAGCTACTCAGCCTGGACAGCTATTAGCTTCTTCAATGCATCCTCTTCCTCCTCAGAAAAGATCTCTGGAGCGTCCTATCCAATTTCCACATCCTACACTTTCACAAGTCAGGAGTAGTATTTACCTGGCAGAGACAGCAAGTGAGCAAACAACTAAAACTCTCAAGTGCCTCCCCACAATAAACCAAAGCCCAGCAAGCACTGTGCAACATGTCATATGTTACTGATCATACAGATATACGATAAACATGTCACATATATGACACACATCACACATACATATATGATACATATCACACACATGATATATACATTATCTATATTTATGACATACATTATACATATGTACATATATATGTAGACCTATATATGTCTCTATAGCTCATGCACAATATCTACTAAGTATCAGACTTTACATTGTAGGATACATAGTATGTACTAAGTGTCAGACTCTGAACTGCAGGAGAGTCATATATCAGATACAGTAGAGATTCAAACAAAGCATGGCTCCTAAGCCAGACTCCTCCTTATGTTTGAGTCTTGGCCATGCCCCTTGCAAACTGAGGGACTTCAGACATTTTACTTCAGCTCATTTCACCTCAGTTTTGTCCTTTAATTGGGCATCAGTCATAGTTCCTACCTCATTATGATGGCATTATGATTAAATGAGATAATATATAAAAAATACTCATACTAGTGTCTGGTACATTGTAAATACTCCACATCATCCCTATCATCTCATTTTATAGAGCTACCTAGAACTCTGTAAAATTGAGGTTTCTGTCTCCATGTTATAGGACCTCTGAGGGTCAAAGAGAATAACCTGCCCAGTGCTATCATGGGTCCTGATAGAACTGTTCTGGCCAAAGTAGGATGGCGCTGTTCTTCATAGTAGAAAGTTGTCACCAGGCAATGTGTCCCTTCTCTCTATACGTGGCCAACCTTTTCTTTCAAGCTGACTTCAACTTCAATCGAGCAGCCAGTCCCACCCTCTGCAGGGAGGAGGGGTGTTTTCTTGTACCCTTAAAGGTTAACCGAATGTGGAATGTAGGAAGGGGTAGCAGTAATAACATTACTGCCTACAGGCAATTGAAGATACAGAGGGAAATACGGAGACCATCGTGCAAATGACTGCAGAAAAGTTAGGTGCTTTTGGAAAGAAGGTGGGTGCTAAATCCCAGGTAAGCTGGAGGCGATTTATCAACCCATGTAAATGATTTAGTTTGGATCTTAGTTCCAATTCTGGGAAATCAAGCTTGGTAACCTTTGCAATTTCTTCTAAATATGTTTCTTCATTCTTTTTTTTTTTTTTCTTTTTTGAGATGGAGCTTTGTTCTTGTTGCTCAGGCTGGAGTGCAATGGCACAATCTTGGCTCATGGCAACCTCTGCCTCTTGGGTTCAAGTGATTCTCCTGCCTCAGCCTCCCGAGTAGCTGGGATTACAGGCATGTACCACCACACCTGGCTAATTATGTATTTTTAGTAGAGATAGGGTTTCTCCATGTTTGTCAGGCTGGTCTCAGACTCCCGACCTCAGGTGATCTGCCCACCTTGGCCTCCCAAAGTGCTGGGATTAGAGACATGATCCACCACACCTGGCCTAAATATAAATTTCTAAGTCTCTGAATGATGACACAGAGCACCCAGGCTGGCCTTCTCACAGGATGCTGTGGTGGACACAGAGTATTAAAAAACTCATCAGGAGTCTTATTCTCATTGAGGCTAGCGGCTCCCAAATGGCTAGCTATCTGTGAACCTGCCCTGGCCCGGGAAGTTGGTTTTCTCCATTTGTAACAAAATGCAAAAAATAAAGAATTATATATGTATTTGTAACATTTTTATAATACCCTACGGGTATAATGCAATCGAGCTGTAACTCTAAATGAGACCTATGAAAAGAAATGTGTCCTATAAATTGTTTTGAAATTTTTTCGTTCCACCAAATCCAGAAGCCTTAGAATTTCTAAGAGGATCCAGCCTTCTACCTCGCAGGAATAGTACACCTGATATCACTAGTCATGCTGCCTGCCTCATTGGGAATAATCAGACCTGCTCTGCCACTTACTAATATGTGACCTCGAGTAATTTTACATCGTTGAGACTCAGTGGCTTAAAAGTATAGTGATTTAGTTCTTACGTCATATGTCCATTGGAGGTTCCATTGCTTTACCACATTGTCCTCTCTCAGGGACACAAGCTGAAGGAGCCCTCATTCCACCTCTTGGAATCTTGCCAGTTGTCATGCTAAGGAGAGGAGAACACAGTGGGACATGCACTGAATTTTAAAAGTTTCCATCTGGAGGTGGTGCACATTATTTTTTGCACATTTCATTGGTCATGGCAAATGATATGATCACATCTAACTTTAAGGAGGGCAGGAAAGTAAAGTCTTAACTAAGAAGTTCCTGGAAGGACGAGAGGTGGAAATATTGGCAAGTAGCAGTAAGGGCAAATGTACTATCATTCACCTCATATTCCATTCCATTTATTTTAGCTCAGCATTTCTACTAAGATAAATGCACTTGTTGATTCTGGTGTGAATTTTATTAGCTGCCCAAAGTTTCAACTCCATGATATTTCCCTAAAAATTCTTGTGGCTTGGTAGTGACCCCCTGACTGGCATGTTGCTAAATAGTTTTGAGTCCACTTAGCTGAACTTTCTCCATAAAGTGATTACAAGAAATTCTGTCACTTTTGTTTTTGGCTGAAATTAAGATACAGTATTGGTATATTTTGCCTTTGACTTATCAATATAGGGTCTCTCTCAAAAAAGGAAATGAGTTAGGATGAAGATTTGACATTCTGTGAGTTGGGAATAATATGAAACAAAAGCCTGGATTTTTGGCTTTCATTTAAACATAGAGGCAATATTATTTTAATCACTTTTGCTAGTGTGACAGGGTGATATATTAGTTGGACTTTTTAGTTGAGGATTTGAGGGTCTTGCAGATGACTGAAAAATTGTAGTGAAGTCCCAGATCAGCTTTCAGAATCTACAGAAAAGATCCATTTCTCTGAGAGTGCTAATAGTAATAATAGTTAACACTTGCATGGCACTTAGTACATGGATGTTTTGGGACCAGGACATGCAAATCAACATGTCTTTTTCCAGCATTTATCATGTTGCTCCACCTACAAGCTATGATGCTGGAAGATTTAGTCTTATTTTTTATTTTATTTATTTATTTATTTTTGAGATGGAGTCTTGCTCTGTCACCCAGGCTGGAGTGCAGAGGCCTGATCTCAGCTCACTGTAATCTCCATCTCCCTGGTTCAAGCTATTCTCCTGCCTCAGCTTTCCAAGTAGCTGGGACTACAGGGGCATGCCACTATGCTTGGCTAATTTTTTGTAGTTTTTAGTAGAGACAGGATTTCATCGTGTTAGCCAGGATGGTCTCCATCTTCTGACCTTGTGATCCGCCCACCTGGGCCTCCCAAAGTGCTGGGATTACAGGCGTGAGCCATCGCACCAGGCCTAGTTTTCCTTTTTAGCCTGGAGAAAAATGAAAGCATATTGTCTTGTCTCTGCCATAATATGCATTTTAAAGATTAAAGACTAAGAGAATACTTCAAGAAAATAAAATTCTCTGAAACATGCAGTAACCAGCATTCAGAAAATAAAACCACTTTTAATTCTCCTATATTTCAAAGTAATATGGAATATATAAACAGAGTGGTCGCTCAGGCAAAGGTATAATAAACTGAAATGTGATTTTAATTAACTCACAACCTTTTTACACTTCGTCTTGCTTCGTTTATGTGTGTGTCTTGTTGGAAGGGAATGAACAGCACTATCTACTAGTCCAGGATTCAAGGTAAGAGAAGTTAGTTTCAGGAAAGAATGCACAGAAAGTGGAAGAACCACCTGAATGACGACATTAGTACCAGCAGAGGGTGCTGGCGTGGCACAAAATTAAGAATTTACAAAAGGAAAAGGTCTTGGATTAAAAGACAGCAGGTGTGAGGAAAAATGTAATAACTGTTTGTATCCACTTGGAGGTCTGAATTCTCGGCTTGCATATCTGCCTGGGGTTGAGTGATTTCCTGCAATGGCCACATGCATTTTAGACATCTCCTACAGCAGAAAAGTGTGACGTTTGCTTCTGCGTTTGAACAGGACAGGGAGAGGCCGTGCAGTTCCCCTCCTGTTTCCACTGGAGGACTTTTAGCAGCCTGGTGTTTGTTACACCTACAGCATAAGTTCACATGGAGTCCTTACTTAATTTATTTTCTTAAAAACAAAACAAGCTATTTTTGTGTTCACTAAAAAAATTGGCTCAGATTGTCAATCCAGGGGAATCACATTTTCTGTTTTCATTTGGCCACCTTAAAACGAAGGTAAAAGGTACCTGGGAACCCATAGGTAGTAGAGATTGCGAAAGGTCAGGTGGAGGAGACGAGGCTGGTTGCACTTTACTCAGCGGAGTTCAGCCTTCTTGGCGGTCACAGCACCAGCCAACCCCGCCAGGACGCGTAGAAGAGCCCCCCGAAGTAGGTCACAGCGATTTTATACAGAGTCCTATAGCGATTCCTTCCGCTAGCAGCCCCTCGGCCAACCTGCGCTTTTGAACTGTTCTTTCTGGCGTTTTGGGCTGGGAGTCAATTGACCCACTGGGTTCGAGTCCAGGCTTTCTGGGCCTCAGTTTCCCCGTGAGGTTCAACGACAGGGGTGGGCAGTCTGATCCCAAGACCTCTTCCCGCTCTCACACGGTGCGGCCAGACATTCCTTAGTGGCGCGGCAGGCCCCGCGCTCTGGAAAGGGCCGGCAAGGAGACAGTTCGGTCAGCACCAAGGACAAGGGCCCCGGGCCCGCCTGGCGGACGCGAGGTTTCTTCCTGGCTAGCCCGGTCGCCGAGCTAGCGTCGGGCGCAGGGTTCAGCGGCCGGGCGGGAGGGCTGGGGGTGCCGGGAGAAGCGCTGTGGAAAGGGGAGCGGCCCCGGGGAATAAGGCAAGGCCGGGCCCCGCGGCGGTCTCCCAGATTCTGTGCCAAGAGGCCGCGGGCGGCTGCGGCGAGCGCACCGCCCCTCCCTTGGGACGCCCCGCCCTGCTCCGGCCTGGGGGCGCATCCTGTGCCCCCAGCTCTGGAGGCCCCTGAAAGCCCCCCTCCCGCACGCCGTGGACCTCTCCAGCCCCTTTCCTGCCCAAGCGTCGCCTGGCTCCCGGTCCAAGGGCTCCTTCTGGACACACCCGTGACTCCGACCCACTCCTTGGGGCTGCAGTCCCGCGTCGCCTTCCTGCAACCCCCGCCCCAACTCCCCGCGGGGAGAGAGGTCCCCACTCTCCGCTGCTCCCGGGCCGGGGCTGCCAGGCGCCCCGCCCCCCACTCGCCCCGCCCCTCCCCGCCCCGCCCCGCAGGCCCCGCCCGCCGTTGCCGGGGGAACCGCGGATCCCGCAGCTGCAGGAGGCGCCCGGCCCCGCGGAGCAGCCCTAGTCGCCACCGCCGCAGCTCTCGCTGCTCTCGCCGCCGCCGCCGCCACTGTCACCGCGTCCGGACCCCGGCTCCCGCGCCCTCCCGGCCGGCCATGCCGCCCCGACGCGCCCGGGGGCCCGGTGCGCAGCTGCTGCCCTCGCCAGCCCTGCTGCTGCTGCTGCTGCTCGGCGCGGGGCCCCGTGGCAGCTCCCTGGCCAGCCCGGTGCCCGCCGCGCCCCTGTCCGCGCCCGGGCCGTGCGCCGCGCAGCCCTGCCTGAACGGGGGCGTGTGCAACTCGCGACCCGAGGCTGACCTGCAGCACCCGGCCCCCGCCGCCGAGCCCGGCTACAGCTGCACCTGCCCTGCCGGGATCTCCGGCGCCAACTGCCAGGTGAGTGGAAGCGGCGGGCGCGGCGAGGGGCGCTGGTCCCGGACCAGGCTGCCTCTTCCCGCCGGCCCTGCTGCCGCTGCCCGACACTGGGCTCCCGCACGCCGGACCCAGGCTTTCCCACTTGGGGAAGGCGACTGATCCAGCCTCCTGGCCCGCGTGGCCGCGTGTCCCTGGGCCGACCCCGACTCCCTTACCCACCCCGGTTCCCGGGCGGGGCCGGCCAGGCTCTCGGGGTGTGCCTCTCCGGGGCTCGGCACTCCTCGCGCGGTGCTCCCTACGCTCGGGTTGGCCACCGAGTGGCGCGCCCTTCCCGGCCCGGCCGAGCCAGGATCCGCTGGCGCGGCGGAGCCGGCTCTGAGCGTCCCCGGCGAGGTGTTCAATGTCTAGGTGGTCCCCCTCCCCGTCCCGCGGGACCCTGTGTGTGTCGAGGGTGTGCGGTGTGGGAGGCAAGGGATGGTGGGCCCCGCGCCAGGTGGTCAGGCACTTTCCTTCTCTTCCTCCGCCCTTGAGGGCTGTGACAAGGCAGCCAGAAGCCGAGGAGGGCAGCTGCCCCTCCTCGGCCTGCGACCAGCACTCTCCAAGCTTAGGAGCAGTGTTGGAACAGTCAAGGGAGCATTGTGCGTGGGGCTGGCGGGCCGTCCTTCCTGCCGGACGCTACTGGGGCGCACGCTCCGGGCTAGCAGCCGGGCGTGAGCAGGGCACCGGGAAGCCGCCAGAAAGCGTGGGGCGGTGCGAGGCATGGGACGATGGGACGTAGCCAGCAGCCGCTCGTGAATTTGGGGTTTCCAAGAGAATTTGGCAGAAAATAATATCTGGGGCTTTTATAAGTACGTTAAAGCTCGGTGAAACCTACTAACATCGACAATTTCAGTAGGCAATTTGGTAGAACTGTGTGTACAGGTAGAAAATCCTCAAACCTCGGTTGCAGGTTAGGGCAAATATTGAATTTATCTGAAATGATTACATTAAACCACATGAATATGGAAGATATTTGGGATCAGATACTATCTTTTTTACATTGAGGGTGGAGGAGTTTGTTTCATATAAATTTGATAACAATGATTGGAGTCTTACTTTGAGAATGCTCAGATAGGTTCTTTCAACCGGGAAAAAGGCTGCCCTTTCAATATGACAGGTTTTACATTTTTTTACAGAAGTAAATGGGATTGAGACGCTTGACCTTGAGAGGCAGATTTTTTTTTTTTTTTTTGCATGTAACTAGAAACTTTTTATTTCCTCTAATAGCGAATTAGCAACCGGATTCTATCTTTTCAACATTGGGCTCTTCCTCTTTGTTTACTGGTTTCAATAAGCTTTAGTTCCTTGAAGGGAGGTGATGAGGAGGAGGAAGAATTTGTATGATGTGAGCATCAGGAGTAGGTTCCCGGTGATAGCTTCTTGGGGAAATGCCTGTTGGAGCCATTCTAAACATTAGAACAAAATCTTGCTTTTGCAAAAGTGAAAAGAACTGCAAATCAAAAACCAGGGAATGGACTCCTGCTAATTTTCCCTGTTTATTGATGATTTATATGACTTTTCCTGAAGAAATGAATTGTCTGAGCGTATCCATCAAACTGTTGTTATATTTATATGTCTGAATTTTATCCTGGAAAGAAATAATTAATTTGCTCCTAGGGTTTAGTGGGAACAGATGGGAGAAGATAAGTTAGAGTGCACCTCTATTTACATGCGAAGCAAGACTGGACATTGGGAATTTAACACAACTCTGAGATGTTTTTGGTGACTCTAAAAATTGATATAAGATATATTCAAGAAAAAGAGCTCTTTAGTACTGCCTAAAGATGACTAATAGAGAAACATAAATATTTTGATTTGTCCTAAGTAGTGACTTGATATATAATATAATTCATTCAAAACAGTCATGAACTAATACATAACATTGCAGAGCCAACTGGTTCAAAACGGATTCAGGTTTCCTTTGTAGTTCGCATTGGTGGTAGGCTTAGTTGTGTGAACACCGCTCACCTGAGTAGAAGCAACACTGCATGCCCTGGCGTGCAAATTGAAGAGAGCACTGAAGTAACTGTAATCCTTATAGGAAAGCTTAGTGAACTTGGAATTTGATTGGACTTGGTTACCTAGAAAAACTTACTGAGATGATTCAGGGCCGTATAATCCATAAAAATGGATTCCTGATGATTTTAATTTAATTATTCATGATCTCACATTAAGACTTGAGACTCATTTTTCATGAGAACAGAAAAGAACACAAAAGACAATTTCAAAAGGGAAGTTAAACCTGGGTGATGGGGAAGGGAGGGGTGAGAGGGAGAGAGGAACGACACACACTCAATTACAGATGGGGAAAATGGATCTTAGCCATCGAAGACGATGTGGTTGCTGAAGTAGAACCTCGTGCTAACTGGATAAATTGGAAATGGTTTTACCTGTGTGTGACGAGGATCTTTTAAACAGAGTGTCACTCCTCCTTCTCCAAAGACAATGTTAGCAATGGTAACATTAGACCCTAACCTTGAAGTTTCTTTTTGTGTGTAGAGAAATTTTAAGAAAATAATAAACTACAAATTAGGATTAAAATGGATTAAGGCTGTCTTTAGCTTTTCTGTGGTTGGCTGATTGAGTTTGGGTAAGTCAGTGGGGTCCAGGACGTGCTTCTTGTGTCACCTGAGTGACAGGAACTCAC